TATATTTTATTGCATATATTTTTTATATACAGCTGGTAGCTCAACAAGCAACCTGCACATGGAACATACTGGGAGCATGAAGATGGAAAAATGGGTATCTCCCAGTGACTGACTTTGCTTGCACAGTGTATGGAAACTGCTTAAAATAAGTGGAAAAACCTATAGATGGGGAGATTTCAGCCTGATGCAAAGTTACCTAAAGGCAAGGAAAGCTGCTTTTAAATGGTTTTGGGTCAGGTCCACTGAGCACTGAAATAAATCCCACATAACTGAGGATTTTCCTGCTCTTTCCCACAGGCAGGGAGCCAGAATTGGCACTGGACTGACTCTGGATATCCACCTGGAAGGCCAGGGTTGGTTTATGCACAAATTCTCTTTCCTATCTATATTTTAAACTTTTCCTTCTAGAACCTTCCAGCTGTGGGAAGTTCTCTGCCTGGAACTGTCCTTTGCCAATGTGCCATATTTAAAAATCAATATCTACAAAGAATCTTAAGTTAATAATAATCTACAGTGGCAGGCTTATAGCAGAATAACTTTATACTTTGGGTGTAAATCATTTTATTGTCCATTTCTATATATTTTGGGCATCACAGTGCTATAATAATACTCTTTCAACACTTATATCCTTACCATAAACTACTGATATCATAGTTCTGGTACCTTTTATCCTCATGAACATGTTTCTTGCAGTCCTGAAGTGGGATTTGATCCTTCAATTCTTGAAAACTGGCATTAAAAGCAGATGAAATGTTTGAAATGTTTGAAATGTTCCTCTGTTTTGGATTTGCTTGGCCACTGGTCCTTGCAAAATGCTGCCCAGGGATGTGGTGGGGTGAATGTGGAATTCCAGGTGGAGATTCTTGCTGATATTTCTTGTTCTCCTTGCTGGTGTCTGCTGGGCTGCAGTGCTGGGATGTGGGATGAGCAGGCCAGGGAGATGTGGGAAAGCCTTGGTTAACAAAATGTCTCGAATTTGGGGAATTATTGAAGCCAGTGTTGGATTTTGCTGCTGGATCAGCAGCAGGATTGGGGTGCAGACATTCCTGCAGGGCAGTGTCCTTGTCCTGCTCCTCTGCACTGGGAGCAGCCTGAAATCCTGGTGTTTGCTGGGAATTGTGGTGCCAAGGCTTTGGTTCTGCTGCTCTCCCTGGTGCTTGTTGGCTGCCATTCCTTGGAAAATCCTTGCCATCGAGACTCCAGGTGGGTTTTGTTTTCTCTTTCTGGGAGAACTTATTGTGCTGATCCTGAAACAAGTCACCAAAAGTGGGGTGAGCTTCAGTTTAGGTGTTCAACAGGAGCCCTTAAATGCACAGGACTGCCTCTTCCCAACCCTGGGGACTGTCAACCTAGAGAAAATCATTCAAAAATCAAAGCAACTCTTGGATTTTGTTCCCTAACGAAAGTAAACTGTCCCAAATTTCAGGGAAAGATGGCTTTGTACAAAGCAAACTGTCCCAAATTTCAGGGAAAGGTGGCTTTGTAGAAAGCAAACTGTCCCAAATTTCAGGGAAAGGTGGCTTTGTACAAAGCAAACTGTCCCAAATTTCAGGGAAAGATGGCTTTGTACAAAGCAAACTGTCCCAAATTTCAGGGAAAGGTGGCTTTGTACAAAGTAAACTGTCCAATATTTTGTGAAAGATGGCTTTGTACAAAGCAAACTGTCCCAAATTTCAGGGAAATATGGCTTTCTACACACTATTAGACTGATCCACAGCAGGAACAGACTGATGTCAATCATATGAATGATTTTATTTCTAAACCTCCTCCCTGCCTGTACCCCACAAAACATAACCCAGATGATAAGAAACCATTTCAGAGTTTAACCACCCCAGGGCTGCTGTTGTGAGCTGAACTGCCCTGCTCTAAATCTGGAGTTTATTTAAGATTTATCCCTTTCCAATTACAGCGTCAGGTGTTGCCCACTTGGAGGGAAGACACGGGGACACACAAATCCATTCTCAGCCCATTTAATCTTTGTCGGGGCTGAAATCCTCCATTTCATCCTCCTGTCTCTCCAGGGTTCTTTTGTCAGCAACACTTGCAGTCAGCACATGGCATATGCACTCAGAATAACTGCTTAATGGTAGGAATTAAATCCACATATAGACCAGGGGGGTTTGGTGAAAGCTTTAGCACTGGGCAGTCCTGCCTCCTGCAGCCCACGGGGTGGATTTGTTAGCTCAACCTTTACTCTGACAATCCACGTCGTGCCACTGCTGCCAAACTGGGAGCAGGCCAAAGTTTTCCCATTTAAACACCCTGAAATTCCAGATATATGAAGCAGATCTGTCCAGATGAACAGCAGCCTAAAAATCCTGTTTGTGCTTTGCAGAGGTGCAGCCTCCAGTGTGAACAGCTGGGAATTTAAGCAGTGCCTGGATTACCTCAAATAGTTGAGAATAACCAGGTTTGCCAGAAATAATGGCAGTTGGCTGGTTCTGGAGCTCCTCTTTTGTCATCAGTGATCAGAACCTGGTCTCTTCAGTGCTCCAAAGACTCACAGTGCATTGGTTTAAAGCCAGCAGAAAACAGATTTATGTGTACAGAGGAGGTGAGTCCAACTACTTCTACTTGTAGCATTTTCTGGTTTGTGGTGACTTTTGATTTTCATAGAGATTTTAGGGGACAAATAAGGCAGCAGTGACTGAGTTCTAGCTCAGAATCCTCATAAACCATCAAGCATGACCATGTACCATTGTGATTTTGCATTATTATCAACTAAATAATGTCATAAATCAACTAAATAATGCCATAAATAGGCGAAATTCTTTAAGCTCAGAATTCCTTGGTATTTGGGATCCCTTTTGCTTTAAAAATATTCACTCCATAAAGCACATGCACTAAATTTTGGTGATTACCTATTGATAAATATTCAGGGATTTACAGTCAGTCATCAGTACTTTAAAAGTAACAAGGTGACAGCTTTAAATATCCAAACTTCAATGATTTTACATATATATTTCAGTAATTAAATTCTATCCAAACGGAACCTTGAGCTGCTGTCCTTTCAGGTTGTCTTCAGGCTTCTTTTTCACAGTCTGGGGTGGTGGTTCTTCCTCATCAACTGTTTTAGGATCTGTAACCTGAAAATTGAGAATGTTTATGGCAACAGCCCAAAGAAATGAAAGGCTTTAAAAGTCTAGGGGAAAGAATGAGCAATAATTCACCCCCTATTAAAACTAAAATGCTGAAGTTAGGCATTATATAATAGGCAACAAGAAAACAAATGGTTAGAAGAGAAAAGGAAGCAAAAATCCTGTTAACAGTGGTGTGGTATTAGGGAGTGCTCCTTCTACTTTTAAGGGGAAGAGAGGAAAAGAAAATTGCAGGAAGTTTGCAGCACAGAAACCTCCTTGTGAGCCTCCAGTGTCTGGGCTGCTCCATTTCTAGGAGTGGATGCACCTAATGACAGAAAAACAACCAGAAACCATCCCTGGCCAAGCAATCAGACACTGATGGATGATACACCCCCCCTCTGCCAGGGCCTGAGCAAGTCCTGCAGAAAGAGATGGCAAAACACAGTAATAGTGGGAGGAAAGGGCAGGGGGAGATGCAGGAATAAAGCATCCAACACATGTAACCTGGCAAAATAAGCTCACAGACAAGAACACCTTCACGTGGCCACAGCTGGGGGAGCAGGATGGGAGCTGCAAATCTGATTTGAACCATTTTTTGCCCGGTGATGCCCTTGTAAATGCAGCAATAATGAACATTTTCCTTGAAAGCATCATT